AGATGGTCAAATACAATTGACGCAGGAACACAAAGGTTTGGATATCGTCAGAAGAGATTGGTGTCCATTAGCTTGCGACACTGGAAAGTTAGCAAATACATTCGATATTTTTCAGAGATTAATTTCATTCAAATTTACTTGAATTATTTATTCTTTTAGAAAAATTTTGGATATACTTCTCTGCGATCAGTCGAGCGAAACGCGTTTGGAACAAGTCGTGCAGATTTTGCAAAATGTTGCGAAAAGTGTAAAGGAAGGAACGACACCACTGTCATCATTTGTTATCACTAAACAATTGTCGAAAAATCCAGATGCGTATCCAGATAAAAAACAATTGTCTCATGTTATGGTAGCACTTAGATTAAACAAAGCGGGTGGTCGGATGTGGAAAGCCGGTGACACTCTGCCATACGTTATATGCAAGGTTTCTTTTTCTTTTCACAATTTTAATTAGTAAATTTTCTGAATAAATTATAGAAATGAAAATCGATAAAAATATACAAACATGAAGAAAGATTATTTTAATATTAGGATGAAACCAATGCGAGTGCGACGGAACGGGCGTATCACATTGATGAAGTAAAGAATAGTGAGAAATTAAAGGTGGATGTCAATTACTATCTGCTAAGTCAAATATTCCCTGTAGTGTTACGAATTTGTGAGCCAATCGAGGGTATCGACGATGTTTTCTTAGCCAACAATTTAGGTATTTCAAAGTTTTTGTAAGTTGTAGAAATGGAATAATGCATTATATTTTACATGTCAATTTGTTCATTAGGTTTACAATTTATTTATAAACCTAAGACGATATCATGCGAGGCAACCCTAAACTTACCGCTAGCTATTAATGATGATAGGTTCAACAATTGTCTTCCTTTGACATTTAAATGCAAAAATGAACGATGTAATACGGAAATAATTATTAAGGATACTGTTACAGAATTTGTAAGTGTGTTTTTCTTCATTGTATATGATTCTTTGTGTTTTATATAATTCAAGATTTCTATAATATATATCGTATTTTTTAATTAAATTGATATTTTTTATGAGAATTATATTGTTAAATATTATGTATGTTATTTTCTGCAGCATTCTGGTCGACAGTTATCACTTAGCATGTGCCCTAATCAAGATTGTAAATTACCACCTTGGAAATATGCAAATGTGATACAAAATGTAGTTCAACTTGCCATGAGAAAAGCAATTACTAAGTACTACAATGGTTGGTTGGAATGCGAAAATCCACTTTGTTCCAACAGAACAAGACGACTACCATTGGATTTCACGAAGAAATTTCCAGATTGTTCAATGTGCAAGGACGTTTCTATGAATAGAGTTGTAAGTTCACTAAATCAATTTCGTATATTTTTATATTTATATTTTAAGACTGTACAATGTTAATATACACTTTTGTATGTTTCTTTTTCAGTATTCTGGAACAGATCTGTATAATCAATTGTACTATTATCATAAAATGTTCGACATTACTCAACCAGCTTACAAACGTAATAAATCTTTTATCGCATTTTACGTTACGAAAACATCAGAATTGAATTTTTTAATTTTTTTTACAGATTTATTATCTCAATGTTCACGGGATATGATAGCCGCATATAACACACTAAAAGAAGCAATTGACAGGCAATTGAAACGAAATAAATTTTCATGTGTAAATATCACAGGAATATTCAGCAGTGCCAGTGCTAATTCTGCGGGAATGTTTGTCAATCATGGTACGTGGGAGGATTTTGACGAACTGGGGGATATATCTGACGACACAGATAAAGAAGTTTAAAGGAGAAACGTATCAATTAAAGAAATAAGATAAAAATCAAAAAGACTATATCTAAGAAAATTTTACAAATTAAATTGTCCTTTACAAAATAATTCCGTGCATGTACGTCTCATTCACGAGTCCATATATGCGAGAAATTCAGAGAAAGTTATATTACATCTCATATGGAGGTAGTCCAAACTTTTCCGGTTCAAACTTCTCCAGACTATCTAAGACTAGAGTCGCTTCGGTCGTATAACGTTTGGGAAGCATCGGGTCCGGCACCATAACAACCTGCATTCCGGCGCTAAGTGCCGCTTTCACGCCATTCGGCGCATCCTCGAAAACCAGACACTAAAAAGAAATTTATAATCTTAAACACTATAAGATAATTAATTGACTCTTAGATTTTAATTATTTTTGGTCTTTAAATATAGTTCAAATAAAGCCTAATAAAAAATATTTTACATGCTATATTTGACAGTTAAATAACTGTCTCTTTGACGGATTCAAACTATTACGTTACCTTCGAAGGATCCGGATTGTTAGGGAAACGCTTGGCAGCTATGAAAAATATGTCAGGCTCCGGTTTTCCGTGCACGACTTCAGGATCCGAACCGCCGAGCACTTTGTGATGAAAGAGTTCGAAGAGATCGTGCCAGCGACTGGTTTTTAATTCATAGTTTTCTTGGTCCGAGCTCGTGGCTAACGCAATCGGAATATTATTCTTTTTCAAGTGCTTCAGTAACCTAACGGCGCCTGTTATACAAATTATTGTTTAATAATTCAATCGGAATGAAATTATGAATACATCTGATGTATCTTGGTACAGAGCATTACCTGGCATGGGATCGGTGTGCGGAAACAATTCCTGATAGACTCCAACAATCTCCTTCTTGAATTCGTCCTTTGTTAACGGTAATTCTAATGTCTCAACCACGTATTCGGCAACGTCTTTGGTCTTAAAACCCATCGTTTGTGCCTTGTGCTCCCACGTGAATTCTTTATCATAACGATTAGTGATACGGTTGAAAGCCTTGGTGTACAGATGTTCTGTATCTAAAATAAAACGTGATACAGACTAATTTTGAATCGAATGGTCAGAAGTATATCTGATTTGTCTCGATACTTACTGAGCAATAAACCGTCCATATCGAAAATGCAGTGCGTGACTTTGTTATATGTGTCGACGGACATTTTGCAACTTAATATTTAGAATAGGGATATTTAAAAATCTAATGAGATGGAACAGTGAAGATGAACGAGAATACGATGCGCTGAAAACCATGTTTTTACGTCAATATTACTGCCTTATCTATTATCTGTTATTACTATGTTACATAATACATTTTTCTATTTTCATCATGTTTCGAAATTGGTATTTTATATAATAAGACAATCATTTTTTATTTCGAACAAGTTTCATGAAAGAAATAAAAGCGAAACTATATTAACTATATTTGATGTAATATAATTCCTTTGAGAATTATTATTAAACATTGTAAAAAATATATTCAAAAATAAAATAGCATATTTTTTAAAATCTTTTAATATCGTAGAGAATATTAAAGTTGTTTTTCATTGTATATATGTATTTATATTTATATTAAACTTTTAGTAAACAAAAACAGTGTATTCTGCAAAGTGTTTATTATCGTGTGTAAGCAAAGAATGTTTTGAGTATAGCTTTATGAAAGATTTGTAGAAAGATAATTAATGTAAGCAGAAAAATAAGATATATAATATTTTCATAATAAAAAATATTTAAACAAGACAATAGAGAAAATATTTATTGAAAATAGTTAATATATAAAATATGGATAAGAGCAAAATTCACACATGAATATAAATCTAAGAAAGAATTATAGAAAGATAAAATAATTTTTTATATAAAAAAAAAATATTTAAATATTCAATTCAAAATAGAGAAAATATTTATTGAAGATAAATAAATATATAAAATAAAAAAAAGAACATTTATAATAATTTTTTTATAATAACATTTGTGATAATTCGAAAGAAAAAAAAACGAGACGTTCATAAAGTATTGCTGGATTTTCATCACAAGCAGTTAACTTGCATACCAAACTACA